ATTAAACATATCTAATTTCTAATGTTTTATATGCAGATTAAATAGGTTTTAAGGAAACTTTTGTCTCGTCTCCCGATGCCACAGGAGGGCGCAATGAGCAAAGTAATGCAGCACATGGAAATTTCAACGCATGGAAAAAACGGTCTATAAAAAAAAAAAAAAGTGCATTACGTCTAAATATTCTAGCCTGTAAGACTGATTACTCAAAAGTCTTATTCGGAACTTTTCAGTATGGATTTTATGGCCTTATTTCAGCTATATATATTTTTTCTAAAACTTACTAACCACGCATTTTTTTTTTCAAAAAAATGCAAACATGTACATCCATCTTGCTCACATATTATTATAGCACAATTTGTGCTGAAAACAAAAAAAAAAAAAAAAAATCAACGATATAATGTTTCATATCGTTCGGTATCGATAATTGACATTTTTTTTAACCTTTTTTTAAAACAGAGCAATAGAATTGTTTTTTTTTTAATTTAACCACTGTATTTTTAAATTAACCCAATTTATGGAGACAAACAACTTTTTTTTTGTTTTAACAGTCAAACACAATAAAAATTAAACATATCTAATTTCTAATGTTTTCTAAAAGTTTAAACTGTTTTAACTTTGCATGGCTTTCTATACATCTCTTGTGTGAGATGCGAGTGCAGCGGTCATATCTGTCAGTCTAAAAAAAATGCGCTGAATATGGTTTTCACATAATCAAGATCTTCTCCGCTTTGAGCTTCTATATTTCTCTAATATTTTGAATGCATAACACAGCAGCGGCGCATCTCGTGGGCAAGACTAACAAAACATTAAAATGCACCAACGTCACTTGCATAATTATCACCGCATCTCGCGCGCCACTGTGACGCTCCCTGACCCACTCCTAACATTCAAATACAAATGTTTATTTTAAATTCGACTAATATAAATGTTTTTTATGCACAATCTCCTCATCACAGGCAGGCACAGCACTCAATTCAGCATGTGTTTGTGTGTGCTGTCTGCGTCACTCATAGCACGTGCCTATAACGTGCACTATATAGAACATTTTTAACATCGTTATCGAAGAAGGTATACCGTCGAAAAATATCGATACCGTTTTATCGCCCAGGCCTACATGAGGGTGAGCATTTAAATGACAGAATTTTCATTTTTGGGTGAAATAACCCTAATCGGTAGGTGTGCTCAGGTATTTCAAACTTATTTTGACCCTCCAAGCGAAGAATGAAAAAGAACTTTGCTGCGAGTACATCAGGACATTTAGTATGCAATATACTCACCTCTGATGTAATATGGATGCAGACACAGTGTTGGGTGCACACTGGTGAAGAACAACAGAAATGATAGTTTCTGATTTACAAAACATGATTTACAGCACAAGAACCATATAATTAATTGGTGTTAAATAGAGTCTCAGGAATCCTAGAGATGGAAGGGAATGGACATACCCCCTTGACCCAAGGGTGCTGCAGAACCTGGGCAGCACTGAGGCGGTCTTTGGCATCCCGCACCAACAGCTTGATGATGAGGTCTTTGGCTGCAGGAGAGATGTGTGCCCAGTCCTTCTCTGGAAACTCGTACTTGCCTTCCTGAATACTCTCAAACAGCATGCTCTGTGGACGCATTGTGATGAATGGTATTAAACATCAATTCACAGAAGCAATATCACTATTCAGACTCAACCCTAAGGTTTTTTCCCCTTTTTAAATTGGCAAATGTATGTAAATAAACTTGACAACACAACCCAATTTGGCTAGTGACGATTTAGTCGGACAGTCCTTATTGTCAAACTCCGACTACGAAACCAGGTGGCTAGACCTGCTATGATTCCATGTAAAGTTTTGAACTTTCACTGCTTTCGATACTGAACGCTTTCCCAGAAAACCATGAATCTTGCCCAAGTATGTGGTGTACCTGGCAGGCTTGGCAGGGCTCTCCCCAGTCCCAACCACAGTCTGTTCCACAGCGACCCACAAAGGGCGGGTATCCACTCAGCATGATGTAGAGGATGACACCAAGGCTCCACAGGTCACAGCGCTTGTCGTACATGCTAGCTTCCTCATTAAAGGCCTCCACCACCTCAGGAGCCATGTATTCAGCTGAGCCACACTGTAGGAAAAAAACAAACCTTTTAGTACGTACTGTAAAAGTCCTCATACACACAAGGAAAAGTCCACAAATTTTCCACATGGGTTTTAAAGGCCACATGAACTCCGTTGGTAGAGCAGAGGAACAATCTTGGTTTCACTTCATGTTTACTATTACGGTCCCATCAACATGTCACTTGGTTGGACAACAAGTTCAAAAGTACGATAAATTACAAGGTGAGCCATCTAGAGCTACAACATTTAATCACAGCTACCAGCACTCCCTCGGCTTGGCCTCTTCTGTTTGTTTTCACCTGCAGGGCATTATCAAGTTCATTGTTCTGAGTTAAGCTGGGGTGGCCTGATCGGATTCAGACCTGGACGTGTCAGTGGACAACTGTTCCAGCAGGGCCCACAGGCTGCTGCTGCTGTCTGCGTCATGTGGAAACTAGGCCAAAAGGTTGCAGCTTGGGAGTAAAAAAAGAAAAAGGATTTAAGCCGCTCTACACCGGCTAGGGATAAACAAGTCCCAACCCTGCTCGAATGTTACATAACACACACATAGGAATGGACATTCTGAATGGTGCACTAATACTTAATGCAATGAATGTGACATTCCCCACACCGAGGAGGTTAGCAGTTTAGCGGGACATGAGCAAATTCATTTATTTTTATGGAAGTGCAGCTGTCTGGTAAAAGATTGTTACACAACTACTGTATGAGTCACTGATGCAAACGGAGGAAGCTGAAGACGTTATGCCGGTGTTTCTTTGCAGGCCGAGGGGGAGGAGACTACAAGTCCTCAGAGGACACTCCAAAAAATAAGCCAGGATGGCCATCTCTCGGACCCTGACAAATCCATGCCTAAGCCTCCATAACCTCGCAAGCACATGCCACATTCCCTCAAACCATCCGAGCTCCTTAAACATGTCAGGGGCATCACTTTCAAGGAAACGCGATAGCCGACAAAAATAGTGCCATGATAAAATGTGACACTGTGGTTTTACCGTAAGTGGCCCTTGTAATCTTAAGTAAGAGCTCTTGGCTAGCCAATCAAAGTTCATAAAAGATCACCTAATTGTGGGAGCACAATTGGAACATAACTATAGTACTTGTCCCACATCAGGAATGGAAGTATATTGCGATTCAACAAATCACAGGCAGTCCAGCAATGATCCCCAATTGTCAGTTTATTGCTTGGCTGGTTTTGCTTTCAGCATGACTGGGCTCTTACATAATGCTCCTCTGTGCACGAGGAATCTTAGGATTTGCAGTTGCTTGGGAGCAACCCCACCCACTTCCTCTCATCATTAAAAAAAAAAAAAAAAAAAAAAAAAAAACGGTGTTTCCAGACAACATGTACGTTACAGAGTAAGGATTTGCATATAGTTTGCTGGGTACAAGAGTGTAATGGTGTACAGAGCAAAAGAGGGCAAGCCTGAATGTACACAGAGATGATAAATAAGTCATCTTGTTTATGTCAGTGACCTCAGCCACTGAAAGTTAGCACTGGCATTGCATCAGTCTCAATAACCGTATGTTCTCGGATGTTTATGAAGGGAATGTTATCATGGCAAGACAGGACTTTAGCTCTGGCAAAACCAGGGAGTTTCCCTGGTCACTATTCTAGCAAGTAAAACCACAGTTGTGGGTGAAAAACGCAACGGTATTTAAAGTGATAGTTCACCCAAAGTGAAAACTGTATAATCTGTAATTCGATGTTCAAAACCCACAAGATTTATCAAGCACTTTGGAGCTTCCATTTACCATATTTGATGTGTTGATCAATTTTTTTAAATAGGAGTAAATGGCTAAATTCATTCACAAAGTGAGTGTAAGTCTTCCGAAGGCTTGGATTAAATTTCTCAGTTCATTTAGATTACTTTAAAGATGTCTTCATAAACTTTATGATTAGTGGTAATAACTTAATGGAGAAACAATCTCCGTTTTCATTTAAAACAAAAAAAAATACTTTTGCATGTTTTGAAGATGAACAAATGTCAACTTTGGAATGACATGACAGTTTTTGTTTTTGGGTGAACTAAACCCATCATGCTACAGAGAGAAAAAAAGTCAATGCTTCAAATGAGTTGAAAACGAAAAGGTAAAATGCCACGTAGAACTGTGCCATGGATTTGTTCTTGAACATCCTGGCGCAGTTATGCTCAAATCAAAAAGGTAAATGGAGAGAGTTCACCATCTAATTTCTGACCCACCTCCTTCCGGGTGCAGAGGAAACTCTTCATGAAAAAGGAAAAACTCGTAGACATCAGAAAGAACAGACCATACAAAAACACAAGCCTCTAGTAACCAGTCTGAACACTTCAAAAGCAACTGAAAACCCCAGGGTGTGGTGAGAAGATTGAGGTATGGGTGAAAGGATTTCCATGAGGAATTTTGTTTATGCTCTCTGTACATGAAGACATTCACATTAAAAGACCTTTGCCTGTTCCGTTCAGACTCAGAGAGCTAATAAAACCGCTGTTCGTCTACTGTGCTCCTTGAGCTGTAATCTTGACAATTCTGTGACCCAAGGTAACGCGTCACATCAAAACAAATGTTCAATGCTCACAAAACTTGGTTACTGGAGGTGATCACTTGGAGGTTTATTGGCTTTGGCTTTAAATCAATAACCTTTATCTCTGCTCTTCTTATTTTGATATCTAGAAGTCCAATGCAGTGAAGTGGCAATAAAAATGGCATTTAAAACACTGGCTAGATTTAGTGGCTTGATTTATGTAACACCAAATTAAATGTAGGTGACAATACGTCCATATGGAAACATAATTGTGAATAAGTCTTCAAAAACCTTTTAATCAATGCAAAAAAATTCATCCTTTCTGGACGAAGTCATAACTCCCCCTGACTTTTTCCCTTCTCCTACAAATCACCTGTCCTACAGGTATGCTATTCATGTTTTTAAAATTTGTATGAATGAAAAATACTATAATTTCATAAATATTACGTTTAAATAAAAAAAATTTAATTGCAGCACGTGTTGTTTACTAGGGGTGGAACGGTTCAACTTACAGTTCGGTTTGTATCACAGTTTTAAAGTCACGGTTTCAGTACGTGCTAGGTTTAGGCAAAAACTATACGGTCAAATAAAAGAAAATAAGAATAATCTAACTACAAGCAACAGCACAAACAAATACAATAGAGTAAAAAGATACAAATAAAATAAACGGTGATTTTCAGTTTTTTTTTTTTTTTTTTGGTAGGTCTAACAGTTTTCAGGTACAGAAATTGAATAAAGTAATGAAATGTAAAACAGCATTGCATATTTGACTGTATAAATTAAAGATTAAGCTTTATTAAAGTTACAAAAGCTATTCAAATCAAGAGCAGCGAGTGATTTCTTTGTTGTTGCTGTTTGATTAATATTAAGAAAGTGCTGTCACTTTAAGAGAATGCACTGATACAGTACGTTCAGCCGGCTATGTCTGCTATAGGATACTTACCAAGATGGGCATTTTGACAATTTTTGTGAGAATTTGTCCATTTAAACAAAACTTCAGAGAAAGCTTAATATTTGCACGTGTTCTGAGGCGTGGGTTTGCACACTTCGGATGAGCGCACGCACAAATCTTCTCACTGCGCGCGCGCGCGAGCTCGCGTCCTCTGGCTCTTAAATGTTTAAACTGGCAAAGCTTAAACGAGTTTAGCTTAAACACAGATATCAACGTGCCCGGGTGATGACGGAATAAATGCTCATATTCCAGCATACGGCATTGAACAAGAGTGAATGGTTTGTCCACGTTTCCCCCCCCAATCGCTGTTGTTGTAATGTATTGGGAAGCCAGAATGCGCATCCTTCAACAGAAACGTATATTAGCCGAACCCTGTTTGTTTTACGTGTTATTTATAGCAAACCATATTACAGATGCGTTGTAAGATTTAAGTTGAACTGCGGTCCTAGTGCGTGCCGAACCGTGTGTGGAGAACCGTACGGTTCGATTTTTTTCCACGAACCGTTCCACCCCTATTAATTTACTATTTATTCTAATTTAATAATGTGATATCATATAGGTCATTGGCTATCCTGCAGTCTAAAATATCGGCAATCAAAAAGTCCATATCAGTCCATTTAAAGTGTTAGTTCACCCAAAAATGAAAATTACGGTTGAACCCCTGATGTCACATGGACTATTTTACCGATGTCCTTGCTACGTTTCTGTACGTTGATCGTGGTAATATCCTTGCTGTCTGTGGAGGGTCAGGGAACTCTCAGATTCCATCAAAAATATCTTCATTTGTGTTCCGAAGATGAACGAAGGTCTTACGAGTTTGGAACAATTTTTGGGTTAACCATCCCTTTAATATACGTGTTAAACTCACCGGAGTCAAGAGCTCAGGGGTGGAGATGGGAGAGCTGTCACTATTCAGTTTGATCCCACTTCCCAAATCAAAATCGCAGATCTTCACGGGAGAGATCTACAGAAAAAAGAAAGAAAAATTAAATCCATAAATTCCACTGTGAAAGGAGTTAAGAGTGGCCACTGAGTATTCCTAAACAGATAACCCGGGTCAATTCATGTTTTCGTTCAAGAGCACAAAAAGCACATAAAATGTTACTGTACCCAACAGATGTCAAAAAATCTGGTCAGAAATGCAGTGCATGTGTTCTCCTCGGATGTCTCATGTCTCCTCATGTACAGAGAGAGACTCACCCTGTCACTATGTTCACAGAGGATGTTCTCTGGCTTTAGGTCTCGATGTGCCATCCCTATAACAAGACATAACGAACAATTATCTATATTGATAATATATAGAACGCATGATAACATCATGTTGTATCAACACTAAAGGTCCCAACCTTTGTTGTGTAGGAAGTCCAGAGCACTGGCGATGTCCTGCACCACTATGCTGGCTTCCTGCTCATTGAAGTGTTGTCTTCTGTGTATGTGAGTCAAGATAGAACCTGGGAATACAAATGAATGCATGAAGATTTAGGACTATAGATTCAAATATATATATATTTTTTTCCCAACATAAGAAAGAAACTCATACAGGTTTGTAATGACATGAGGGTGAGAAAATGACCATTTTCATTTTTGGGTGATCAATACCTATAACTTAGTAGGTAAAGTAAATACCTTTTCTATTTAAAAAAAAATTAAAACCAAATATCAGTAGTAATCATTTTCACACGCACACAAAAAAAAAACATAACTTACCGCCTCTCAGTTTCTCAAAGACTAAATAAAATTTGTCCTCTTCCTCAAAGTATTCAACCAGTTCCAAAATGTTTCTGTGGTGAGAAAATACATTAACATTAGCCATCAAGTATACACACGGTAATGAAGCGTAAAGGAATCTTTTTCAATTAGTCTTAATGAGCTTCTCAAGCTTTGTTCCAAAACCTCGTCTTGCAGTCTATGTAGGCAGCAGTCTAAAGCAGCATCCTGACAGTCATAAAACTCAACCACAATAGATTTCAATACAGTTTTCATTTAGCTAAGCTAACCGCATAATACATGAATAATCAATAATTACATCAGATCCATTTTTAAATTGGTACTTTAGTTTAGTTTGGAGTATTAAATAAAATTTCTCTCCCCTTGGCCACAATGTTGGATTTATTTTTCCCCCCCCAGAGTTTGTCACAATGCACTTTGGTATTTCTGTGACCTTTACATGCAATTTTCCCTTAGAGGTTTCGAACAGATCAATAGTGTCACACAGAGCGTCCCGTACCTGTGGCCCTGGCACTGGTAGAGCATTTCCACCTCCCTGAAAACACGGCTCCGACTGTGGCCTGGCCTCTTCTCAATTATCTGTAGAACATTGAAACATCATATTAGTGACCTAATACAAACCCTAGGAAGGACACATTGTGTTCCGACCTTGAATTACAGAACTCTGGAGTACGTTTTGACGGGCTCTTCTGCTACCTGGACACAGACCTTATAGTACACATTTGTTTTTAAGTGGCAAAACCCTCAGACATGTTCACGTCATCTCAGAATCGAGCTCGAGTCGACAGATCTGCGTGTCCCTTTGTGGGTCACCCTCACTCGGCGCGTGTGGGAGATTAGCAAGCACACAGATGACACACCACTGCCTGCCTACAAAAGAACATCTCAGACCACTGAGTCAGCAGGTCACCACATGGTCATCGGGCTTTACAAGCTGGCGGACTAGACAGACGATCAGGTTTCACAACATACAGGGCATCCAGACCATGTGTGCAGTACAGAAAGTTGCAGTGCACTCATCCCAAAAGAAGGGTTGACTAAATGGCAATTAAATTCTACAATAGAACCAACAATGCCACCAATTTTCTGGTTTCATTTACTGGGCGCACAGCCATCGAAAGGCCATCGACAGCTGGTAATGTCGTAATAAGTGGTGTATAGCAGTTAACTTAAATAGAATTTAAATAGCAGAACTTGTCTATTAAATTTTACACTGCTGTTTTGCGTTTGCCTGTTTTTGAAAGGAATCTCTTCTGCTCACTGAGCCTGCATTACAGTATTACTGTTTATACTGTATTTATAAAGTATTATAAGTTAAAATAACTTTTCCATTTGAATATTTTAAAAGGTGATTTATTTCTGCAATGTGGAGAACCTGCTGTTTTCAATTTTGCATTCCCTTTGGCAAGTCACATACAGAACATGTGCCATGAAATGCCACATGAACATCCCGCACTCTTCAATTAACACACATTGCTTATATATATATATATATATATATATATATATAAAACCATTCCATCTACTAGGTCAAATCGATGTAGCGAGAGACACCACACTGCTTTTTCAAAGACTACATGTCCTGCTAAACAATATCAACAACTGAAAAGAGGAAGTTTCTCTGCTGAGCAGGCACTGTGGTCATTTATATTTTTGTTCCACAGCTGCAGCAGCAGCACAGTAGCTGGAAAGCCATTGTTCCAGAGAGAAGTACACATAACACCACATAACAAATAAAACGGACACAGCTCAAATGACCATGAATAAAAGCTAGAGTCCTGTATTTCCTGAAGAGGACTGAAACACTGATACAGAGCCATCTGTCCCAGCATAAACCCCCTTTTATTCTTATGTAACACTCTACATTGAAGGCAGGACACATAACTAAGAGGCAAAGTTTGCTTCCTTCAATTCATATTCCTAGTGTCAAACACTTGGAGTGTTCAATAATAAACCACTGATGCTCTAACGTCATTTAAGAGAACATACTACTAACAATGTCCTCCTGCTACTCAAATTTAGATTTAGAGTTTTGCAGAAGAATCCACTCTTTAAATCTGTTCCCCTTAGTCTGTTCAGATTGTGCAATCTTATTTATAATAAGTCACATTTTTGTTGTAGCAGAAATAGCCCCTATTCATTCCATTAAAGGGATAGTTCACAAATGAAAAATGAAATTGTTGTTCTAAACCTCTATGAATTTCTTTGTTCTCAACATAAAAGAAGATATTTTGAAGAATGCTGGTAATCAAATAGTTGATGGTCCCCCATTGACTTCCATAGTATTTCTTTGCCTACCATGGAAGTCAATGGGGACCAGCAACTGTTTGGTTCTTCAAAATATCTTCTTTTGTGTTCAGCATAAGAAAGAAACTTATACAGGTTTGGAACGACATGAGGGTGGGTAAATGATAATTTTAATTTTGGGTGAACTATTCCTTTAAAGGGGTCATATGATGTGATTTCAATTTTTCCTTACTCTTTGGAGTGTTACAAGCTCTTGGTGCATAAAGAAGATCTGTAAAGTTGCAAAGACTAAAGTCTCAAATCCAAAGAGATATTCTTTATAAAAGTTAAAAGTCAGCCACACCTACCTAAAACGGCTCGTTCTAACACGCCCCCACATATCTACGTCACGATGTGGTAAGATTTGCATAACGCCGCCCAAATGTTCACGCAAAGAAAGGCGTAACTTTTATTCTCTCTGTACTACTGTTGTTGTTGCCACCTCCGCCATGTCGTGAAGGCACTGTGTTTCGTTGTGAAAGTGAAACTACTTTGTTTGGTCTTCCAAAAGAGGACGTCGTCACATGTGGTTGCCGCAAGCCCTCCGGACGCTCCTTCGTTGAACCTGCCGGCCGTGCCGTTCTCAAGCCCGCCCGCCTCTGCTCACTCAAGCCGGCCTCCGCATACTCTAGGCCACGGCTCACTCAAGGCCACGGTGTGAGACGCTTTCTCATTGTGAAAGCGAAACTACTTTGTTTGGCCTTCCAAAAGAGAACACGTCTAGAAATCAGTGGTTAAGTTGTATTTACACTTAACACTGTTCCAGAACGGTTTAACCCAAATATTCAGATGTGTCCAGCGCATTTTATGGAGGACTGTTTCCTGATCCTGGTAGAGTAGACTACAATGCCGGCTGTTCTGACTCACAGATTTTAAGTACGTTTTTTATATTTAAAGAATTTGCCACTGACGATTCAAACGCGAGTTTTTTGGGCAGTGTAGAGTAGCACTTGTTGTTTGTCATTTCTCCGATCACAAATGCAGACATGGTTTTATGTTACGCTCCGGTCGGACAGGGCATCACAATATGGTAAGGGGCGTAACATTTCCGTCACACGCTTGAGGTATTCGGCCAATCACAACGCACTGGATAGCTGGCCAATCAGAGCACACCTCACTTTTCAGATCGATGAGCTTTGTAAAAATCGACGCGTTTCATAAAGGCGGGGCATAGAGGAGAAACAATAATGTACAGTATGTGGAAAATAATGTGTTTTTTGAACCTTAAACCGCATAAACACATTTCATTACACCAAATACACAAAATAATGTTCTTTTCAGCAGCATCATATGACCCCTTTAAAGGGCAACTCAAGAAATCAATGAATAAAATATTATAATACTATTAAAATACATAATATTGTTGTATTACATTTAAGTAAATTTTATAATATATTCAATTTTCTCTATACATCAGAATATTATAATAAATTATATGTTTTACTTTGCTTCAAATGTTTCAGCACCTTTTTTGTATTTTTTGTAATAAAATTAAAATGAGGCAAATAATTTAAATTTTTTTTTAAATTTGCTACCTAAGCTTTTTATTTTCTGGTTGAAGCACATTATCCAAGTATCACCCATTTTACAAAATGCAGCAATAATATAAAACTTATTCATATAAAACATGACGGTGTCATGAGTGACATCACAAGATCAGCTCAAATCACAGCAAGCTCCAATTACGGTCTGGGACTCTGTGACAGCAAAATCAGAGCAATCATAAGGAGAGTATGGCCTAAGAGGGTATTTTGCTATGGCAACTGGAGTTTAACCTGAACATAGATAAGACACTGATTATTTGATGGTTGTATGAGCACTGACAACAGTTTGTTTCGCAATATGCTGCTTTAAATAAAAGATACTTGCCTTTACTGCATATTCTATATTGGTGACCAGATTAATGCAGGTCTGAACAACAGCATAAGCCCCTTCTCCAAGAACCTCATTTTGTAGTTTGTAAACATCTGCAAAGGAAAAACTGAATATTTACCCTCTACAGACAGTGAACCTCTACTCCAGGCTTGAGCATTTACAAAAGATAAACAAAAAGGACTTGCCTTCAAAACGTCCGGAGAAACTGTCAGTGGCTCTGCATCGTTTTTTCTTTTTATTTCTCTTCTTGGCATCAGGGATATCGATGGGCTGGCTGGATGGCATGTCTTTAAAAAAACACAAAAAAAAAAAAAACAGTTAAGATGAACAATGTGTGCCAAGTCCATAACTCTAATCTGCTATGAACTTTGCCTAACAAAGCATTAGAGATAAGCAATATCTCCTCAATAAGTATCTCACCAGGGTTTACGTCAACCTCAAAGACTGATAATGACAAGCAATATTAATGAAAATGTAGGCAAAATAGCTGTACCAGGCCTTGGCGAGTGGTCTAACTTGAAGGATGAGTCAACATGGGGTTCCGAATCTATGAATTCATCAGTCCTGAAAGGGTTTTCCCCCTGGGAAGAGGAGAAAAAGTGTCACAAATTAAAGTCTGCCATTTCACATAAAACACTTTCTGGTAAATCACAAGTCGTTACCAACCTTGAAGGAGTGATGGAATCCTGTGACCTCTGTGATTTTGTTTTGCACCATGTTTTCAAATGGTCAGATAATAATATGCAGCTTGGTGCTTTAATCACAGTGCAGTGGCTCCTTTCAATCAAATACTGATCACCTCAAGGTGGTCGTGCAACAGATGACTCCTGTTTACACAGACAGACAGAAACAGCATCAATATGGCCCCGAACAGATGCTCTTGAGAGACTGAGAAATTAGGAAAGCTCATGCACAGACTTGATATTTTTGACATTGCAAGAGGCAAAAAAAATCAGGAAATTTGACAAAAACAAACAAACAAATGAATTAACTTGCTATTAAAGTTGAGAAATATATCAACTGACAAATCTTATGCAAGTAGTTAACAATCTATTTAATCTTAGTTTACAAGCTGTCAGTAGCTATTTTTAATAAGGATGACCGAGTAACCGCTCTCTGGGCTGCATGCGGTTGCAGTCAGAAAGACTGGAGTTTTTATTTCTCAAAAAGAGTTCCAGAAATCATTAGGTAAGTTAGTGGAAAGGGAGTCATCTCTTACCCCGTTACTAGCCGTGAGACGCCAGCGTTCACACCGTTGCTCAACCCAACGTGTTAATAGGTTATTACTCTGTATTTGTCAAGTGTAAACTGCAGTTGAGAGCTCTACGCACATATAAGATCGTATCTTGCACTCCGCCCACTCTGCATTCCATATCCAATCAAAATGATTGCTCTGAGAGGCGGAATTAAAAACTCAGAACACTATTGGACATTTAAATGACAGGGGCGGAGCATCCCGTTTTGGACAGGCGCTTTAATTACACTGGACTTGTTTATTGCCCCATCTACTGGGCAGTGGAAAAATTAGTACAGTTTTAAAATGAACACACTTTGTTTAGGAAACATGTTTTGTCAATATTGTTGGGAACAGCTAGGGGTTTCAAACTGTGTTCAAGTCATAAGTTTAACATCTAAGTATCTAAACTTAATCGTTCAGTTTTTTAAAAGCATTTTTTATTGTTAGATTATTTTAATATAACAATTATATTATAATTATAATAATTAGAACCACGTCTGTAGTGAGCAGGCAGACTATGTGGCTCACTGCAGCCATCTACTGGTCTTTATATTTACTATGCATTAATTAATTTAGTTAATGTAGTACCCAGTTGTGTACAGCATTCGAGTCAATTTCTGCTACCTGGCTGGCTGCCAACTCTCAGGCGTTCTCTCTTTCTAGACTACATATAATTCATTCAGATTTTGCATCCTGTTCACTCATATGCAAGTGGGATTCAGTTTCGAAACTGCAGTGATAACCGTAGCAATGAACAGGATAAAATATAATTTATCAAACCAGATGTGCAATAAGCAATGTAAATGCAGACTAAACGAGTAACGTTAATAGAAAAGTTTGTTAATTTTCTTAAAACATTTTTCCCACGGCTGCAACTATTTTTTAAACATAATTTTATAATAAAAACAGTATCATGACATTAACTACTACACGTCCAAACATGTAGGCCTATATAGCTGAGGTAAATTTCAGTTAAAAAATAAATAAATAAATTTGATCACAAGCACAAGGTTAAACAACATAAAAACTTAAAAGATGCCATGTCTATAGGCTGTGTGGATAACAAATGACAAAAAACTCTCTTACTAAAATAAAACAAAAGATTTCCTAATCAGCAACTGTGTGCTGCGTAGAATTTAGATAAATGCAAATTCAATCATCTTCTATGTTGTCATCAGTCAACAAACAACAAGACGAACTGAAAACGGGAACGTATATTCTCGCGATATTTAATGACGAACGTAACGCACGTAGACAGGGTGGAAATACACGGTGTAGCTAGATAACCGCTTTCATTTTAATTAATGTCTGTGTTTAAAAAGAAGCTTTGAAAACTTTGCAAAATCCATTCAAAGTAAGTGTCATAGTAAGTGCACTATAAATAATTGCTCATGAACACATATAGCGATGTTTTGTTTTGGTCTGCTAGCTCGTGCGTCTGCGGACGTCCCTGATTGTTTACGTTACGTTGGTGAGATGTTCTGTTAGTTTTATCAGTAAAGCCAATGGATTGCTTTTTGTTTAAACACTATTGATCATGTGCATATTATTCTACTAATTGCTTTTACGTCTACTGTGTTGTTCCTCTTTGCACACCCACATTAGAATTTACTACGTGCCATTCACTGAAAGTGTGTATGAGCAATACTGAACTATATCATATTTTGTCACATTTATGTTGTCTAAATTAGGGCAATTGTTATCCTAGGTTGCAGGTCTGGCTGGAACAGGAACCATCCCACTACCTCAATTACAAGCAATCACCATGGAGGGTAACTTATGCCATTATCAGTACTATACTTTAAATTGCTGGTTTCATGTTCATGCATATTAAAGCCCAGTATAAGTAGAACTAGTATGCAATGTTCCACCAGGATGTCAAATGTCCTGCTCGTTTTTTGGGTGCAAGAGGACCTACAATAGTCCTGAAGCACTGAATAGTCATCTTCAGGACCATCAAAAGAACACTGCTTCTTCTCTGTCTCTTCCAGGTATAACATCAACATGCCATTTTTTGGTTTGTTTTTTTACTAGTTATCTATATTCATAATATCGATGAATGAAATGCTGTTTGCAAACATTTAATCAATTAATTCATAATCGTAAACGGTGTCACATCAGCAATTTGGTGTCTAATGCACTGTCCTTTATTCTTTAGGGAAAACCTTCCTATGCTCTCATATAGGATGTGATGGTTCATTCAACAACATGCAGCAGTTAATGGAACATATGAGGCACCACCACAAGCCAAATTGTTTTTTCCTGTGAGTTCTTGCAGAACTCTGCTTTTAGGTTTCTTTCTTAATAAGGTTATTTAATTTTACTCTTTCTTGCCAGTCCATAATTTCTCATAGAGGTGCTCATATTTGAATGTCTCAATGAAAAGGGACTTAACGCCACCAAAGAAAAGTCTGTTGTTACACTGGCAGATCAAGTTCTGATGTTTTTTTTTTTTTTTTTAAATATGAGGTCAAACAAACAAACAAAAAAAAGATGCAATGACGTAGTTAAAATATCCGGTAGTATGAGTTTTCGTAAATACTACCATGTATTGTGTACGTTTTTTGACAGAAAATGTTTCATTCAGTTGTTGCTGGATTTTTTTATTTTTTTATTTGAGGGTAAATACTTTTTTTTTTTTACTTTTCTAGCACTTATGTTCTGCTCTGTTTGTTTCAGCTTTATGCTTCTTCATTATCGTCATTTTCATGTCCTTCAGGTGCGAGAGCTGCAGGGCCAAACTGCGTTCTTACCGCACTCTTCTCAAACACCTGCAGACCTGTGCTAAAGTTGCTAAGAACAAGGCTGCAAAAATAGAGACTGGAATGGCACCTGACGCAGATCCCACCAATGTTCTGCCCGCTTCCGCTGACATGGAATCATCTGGACCACTCTTAGCCCCAAATGCACCTGAGGAGATGGAGTCTATGCCTTCTTTGCCCACAAATCCAACACTGGCAAGCATGCCAGTAACCCAGCGGCTCCCAGAAAACAACGCATTCGCTAACCCCATACCTGCAGGGCCTGTAACTGTGCCCCTTGCCACTCTAAATCCTGCCTCAATCCAAAATGTTCTTTGCCAACCAGAATCTCCCTACAGCTCCTTTCCACCTACTCTGTCTCCTGTTAACCCAGTCTTCCAGGCAGATCCGGGCCTACAGCAGCAGCAGAGGTCTCCTAGGTCTGGTCCTCCCAGTCTGGCCGCTTCACCGCCCCTGCCGTCACCACCAGGATCAAACGCAGTCTGGAGGAAGAACCAAGGTGAATGGATCTCATAAAGCTTTCCTCTGTGAGTGAGGAAAGCCAACTTAAAACAAGTGTCATTGCTCACAATGGGTCTCATTCACTAACTGTGTGTACACATGAATTTGGGCATGAAATCTGATCATGATTCATACAATAAAGTATTAAAACATTCTAAATGAATGGACAAATGTCAGTATAAAAATGCAGAACATGTTAATATGACATTGATTAAATAGATACAGTACTTGTCAAAAGTTTGGAATAATTAAAAAGAAAAATAAGAACTTTGGCTTTGTTAATGTTCTCCAAGGCTGCTTTTATTTGATAAAAAATACAGTAAAAAAACATCAAAAATACAATAAAACTTTGAAAATATAATTAAATATTACAGGTTTTTTATTTTTAGCATTCATAATAATCCATGTTGGAAATCAGCATATTAGAATGATTTCTGAAGGATCATGTGACACTGAAGACTGGAGTAATGGCTGCTGAAAATTCAGCTTTACTATCACAGGAATAAATGACATTTAAAATATATTATATTCAAATGGAAAATAGGTATTTTAAATTGTAATGATATTTCAAAATATTACTGTTTTTACTCTATTTTTGATTTTAAAATGCAGTCTTGGTGAGCATAAGAGATTTTTGTAATGGACAATTATTATTCCAAACTTAATTTTTCCAAATGACGAACTTCAGACATGCTTTCAGTCATTTAGAATAATCCAAATTCACTCAACAAAGTTAAGAACAAATTCATGTGCGTATGCACTTGTTGTGAACTAGGCAGACATTTTTCATGAGGAGTTCTGTCTACATAAATACAGATCCACACAATTATTATTGAATGAGACCCATTGTTCCTTAAATCATCCTACATTTTAGACCCTGTTCACCTGTGTATTTTCCAGTTTGCTCAACTGATCTCACCTGCTTATCAACAGGTGTGAGTCCTAATGAAAGGGAATTTGTAAATCACTTGGGGGGGGAAATGCTAAGACTTGGCCATGGCCTCTTTGAGTGAACTGTGTTTTGTCGTGTTGCACTGTCCTGCCAGACCCGCCCGGGCCCCTTTTGCACAGATGGAACTCTCCGAGCAGTCAGAGTTTAAATAGAGATGAAGTCCAGGTGAGGCACAGAGAATCCACACACACATTGCTTGAGGGAACAATCAGATCTTCCCTCAAATGCTAATCCTCCTCCCCTTCCCCTGCTCTAACCGGGCTCAGTGTTTCCCTGGGTGTGCCATCTAGCTGTATGACTCAGTCCACTCTCATTCGATCCTAAACACATATGTCCCGGTGCTTCACTAACATGCAATAAAACATCAGAGAGTGTGCTTTCAGGGCCAGTGTTCCTTGACTTCAATTTTCCCCTTCCCATTAGCATTTTGCAAAAATCAGGTGGTCATTTCTGGCAAGAGATGGTGCTGTATCATAATAATTGACCATGTGTGAAGAAGTTGACAACGCTTGCTAATTCCAACACCTTTGTGCCCATGTTCATCTGTCTAAACTGGGTTTAATGATGGTTTTAATTGTGTTGCTCTTGTTTGTATGAGGCGATGATCACTGGTTTCTTTTTCCAGCTCAATCTGGTACTTTTACTGGTGAAGGTTTTTTTCTGTCTGTACAAACATTCTCAGTGCACGTATAACCATGAGTATAATAGTCTTTGAGTTCATTTTGATTTTAATGACTCCCCATTAATTAAATCTGTCAGGTCAGTCCTTCAACTGCCGCATCCTGTGGGAGCACACAAGAGGTCGGTACAGTTGCCTACAGTGCGGCCACTGCACCCCAGACCGGGGGGAGATGACCGCTCATATTGAGGGCCAACACAAGAACCCAGGGGGCAAAGTGAACACTGATCATGGTATGACTTCTGTACTTCATTTGAATTGCAGTGCACTTTTTATTTTATTTTATTGGGTTGCAGGGATAGCCCAAAAATGAAAATTCTCTCTATCATTCACTCATTTATGATTGCTCCAAACCTGTATGAATTTCTTTCTTCTGCCGAACACAAGAGATATTTTGAAGAATGGGGGTACTGATTGCTACAGTATGGAAAAAATGCTATGGCAGTCAATGGCTACCATCAACTGTTTGGTTGAATTTAAATTTTTGGGTGAACTATCCCTTTAAGGCTGGAATACACTACGTGACATTTGCATAGATTTTTGCCCCAATTTCCAGTCTATATGAGTCAATGTTAGTTGCCAGAAGTCAGAGTCAGTCTGCAGGTTTTTGTTTGTCAGAGTTCACAGATTTCACAGAATACACAGTGTATGATGAATCTATCTAGTCAGTGGATATCAAACGTATTTTCATACAATTTTAGAACACATATGGTGTTCATTTGTCATGTGTCTAGGGTTAGGGGCAAATGTTTCTGCATGGGTTTTTTGTTTTTGGAAGGATTTGAATATTGAATATCCTCAGTTGTTTAGTGTACAATGTCCAGTTTTGTGCTGTAACCATTTACAAAGTTGGCAAATGCATGATGACTAGTGTTTTAAAATATGTTCCAATATTAAAAATCGTGATGTGTATTTCAGTCTTGAAGGAATGGGGATTGTGCACATGAGAAAATCCTAGTAAAGGCTGGAATACATTGTAAAAAAAAAAGAACACATTGTTTTCATATCATGTGTCTCCTAATAACAAGGCACATGTTCCTGTGTGAGTTTGTTGTGTTTGAAGCAGCTTTTGTGTGTGTGTGTGTGTGTGTGTGTGTGTGTGTGTGTGTGTGTGTGTGTGTGTGTGTGAGTGAGTGATCCTTAGTCGTTTAGTGTATGGTGCCCAGTTTTTCTCTGTAACCATTTACAAAGTCAGCAAGAGTATAATGCCTAATGTTTTAAAAGCTCTTTAGATTTGAAAAGACCTTTTGAAAGTATGTATGTACAATATAGGGATGTTATCTCACCTGACTGAACCTTCTGTGTATTTTACAGATACAGAGATTGCCACCGCATCTTTACTGGCTAAGACTTCACTAAACTCTGAGAACTCAACTTATACACAGCTCTAACATGAAATGAGATGCTAAACCTGTTGATTGACAAATAATTTTGGTAGTAGCATTTTATACAGAGGGAGATACTCAATTTTCATTTCACCGACAGTGTGGACTTCAAGCATCTGTGGTCTGGATCTGTCAATATCACTATTCAAACACATGAAGAGCTGCATGCCTTATCTTCAGTAAGCATTTATGAGTCATCTAGACTAAGAAAATATCTTGTTAGGTTTCATTCAATAATTTGGAATGGCATATAAATAAACTCAGTAATGTTGTAATATTATGTCACCTGCATTTTTATTTTTCCTTTTTACAATAGGAAGTATCTGCAATAGAGAACAGCAATTGTGTTAAAAATGAATGTGTCAAGAGTTAAAAACATAAAATTATGCCAAATGTTCAGTTTATTCAAGAATAAATAAATGTATTCTTAATTAAAAAAATTAAAAAGAATAAATTTTGTTTCTAGACCAGTTGTTTCTGTACTGTTCACTACCTGCAAATAAAACCTGTCTAGAAATTTTAATTTAGTTTAAATTGTGATGCGAGTCAGTTTCTCATCTTATTGTGAAATCTACATTAATGTCTGTGGAGGAATGCGTGTTTTTAAAGTATTTGATGTTTATAAATTGTATAGGTTCATTTCATTTTATATATATATATATATTAGTAATTAAATTGATATAAATAGAAATACTTTAAGAACCGCACGAAAGAAAGTGACTGAAAAACTTCCGTAAAATACAGTAATAGGTGGAGCAACTTTAAGTATTTGCATAGTGTATAAGCGCAATTTTAAAAAGTATCTGAAAGATGTGGAAGGGACACAGAGGTAGATGAGAGCCATTCCGCTTTTATTTTAAAAACTCAGTGTCGCGGCCATTTGTTCAAACTGTTCAGTTTCTCCCTTCACACACCATCAGATGTGTAACAGCGAGGATGCACTTTCAATCTACTTCAACGCTTTTGTAAATAGACTAAACAACCGGAACATAGGGAACAATGGAGAACATGGTAATAAGACTTTACTGACACTGCCAGACAGCCAATAGTGAGGAATAGGCATGGTTTTTATCATAAAAACATTTATACTGAAAGACGAGGCCAACGTTTCTGTGAAGATGGTTAGGATGCTAACTTAGCCGGCTAATCCTTACGAGGCTTAAAGCAGGAAACCCGCGGAATTACATTAGTGTTTTATGTAAATTTATGTCGTGACGAAGATATGCTTATAGAAACCAAAATGTCCTTTTCTAAACCTCAGCATTTGGCTTATAGGACCTATGGACTCTTGAGTTCCAGGCAGCACTCACTAGCTGTCCAGTTAGCCTGGACCTGTCTCAAAACCTAATGAACTGCCTTCATAGACAGCATTTTGGGCGCCCTAGGAGCGCGCGAACGTTCGAACTCTTCCACGATCAAAACATGCTGTCTAGATAGGGTGCTCACTTAGGATTTGAGACAGTCACCAGGAGAAAATTCTTCCATTTCAAGGTTGGACGCATGAGTAATGTTGGCTTGTATATTAAAAGCAAGGCTTAGATTATAAATATTGAGTGATGGAATATTAAATCAGCTGTGTGCATCTTTAAACGATTAAAGAAAAGTCAAACAGCTGTTTTTTGACATGGAACTAGGAAGTGTGAAATGAAATTCTGCAATGTCTTTGAAGTTTAAGTAACTACATGCATATAAATGATCACAATTAATTAATTAAACAACATCTGACACATTTTAATAGAATCTGTCTGTCTGATAGACTTTGAAACATCAAGCTTTGAAATCTACTTGCCAGGCTTTCTCAAGCCAACATCAATCATGAATTGACAAACTTTTTATCTAGTTATTTTTGACATGCACTGCTTGTGTAGTTTTGTGTTATGCAGTCACTGTAAAAATGTTTTAGGCACAGATAGGATATGAACTCAGTCAACTCTGGCAAAGAATTTATTAACCATTGAGCTAACGCATACAAGCCTATCAGTCATTTTGTTTCCATACTAAGAAAAGCTGTAAACAGTAAACCATCACGCGCATGTAGAATGTCACAGAACTGTGAATTTCCGTCTCTAGCTGTCAGAGAGCAAAAGCTGGTTGATTTCTCACAGATATAAATAGCAGATATAACAGTGGTGTTGAGAAGCTGGCCTTTAGTCTCTGAGTTATACATGTCACTCACTGATGAAGTATTGTAATCTTTTTTTTCCAATTTCTACTGTACTACTGTTGTAGGACTCATGTTCAGAATAGAGAAGACTGACAGATGACTGCTGCTTTCCTCTTATTTCAGTGCACTGTGCAGGTGAAACTGGAGCTGGGACACAGAGCCCAGTTAAGGAAGAAAGTCACTACCGAGGGCTTCACACATGACTGGATGGTGTTTGTTCGGGGCCCAGAGGCGTCTGACATCCAGCACTTTGTGGAGAGAGTTGTCTTCCACCTTCACGACAGCTTCCCAAAACCCAAGAGAGGCAGGTTTTAATTTGAGTCAATGTCGTAACACTGTGGCTTTATACAGTACTCACAGCCATGTAGGTTAAAGTCCCTTTCAATCAGGATTAAAGAAACCATTTGTGTGGATGCCCATTTTCTTCTGTCGAGTTATCATGATTTATCTTGCCCGTTTACCTCATGCTGTTGCCCAAACTAATATACTTTGTGTAGTTCCAGCATATGACTATATATCTGTCTCTATTATAGATCAGTGATTTAGAGCTAAATTAAAGATGAATGTTTTTGAATTGCATATAAAATGTCCATCTATTTGGAGTACAGTTTTAACGTAAGACTTAAGTTTAATGTGATGTATATTTGTCAGTCATACATAAATTAAAGCAGGTCTATTCTGACTATTAACTATTTGCATCTATTTTATTTTATTTAAATAATAATATTTTCAAAATGCATTTATTCAAATTGCTTAGAATTAGAATAAATCTGTTTATTGTGACAACAATTACATTTATTGCGTTAAAAAAGTATGAATGTGGTTAAAATATGGCTAGCTGTTGAACAACCAGTATTTAGATCAAATGAATGAGATTGAAACATGACTGACTGATTGATAAATATAATCATATATAAATATATAAACCTGGTTATTTTGTTTTTAAAACACATTCAGTTCATTAGTATTATATATTAGAAATCATACCCGTTTAATTTTTGTTAGTCTGTCATCATTTATTCAGCCTTGTGTCATTCCAAACCCAGACTTCGGTTAATAATTAAGATAATTTTAATGCAGCCTGAGAGGTTTCTGTCCCTCTATTGAAAGTCCATGTAACCAAAACTTAAAATATCAAAAAAGGTTATAAAGGCATAATAAAATTAATACAAATGAATTGAGTCATTTAATTCAAGCCTTGTAAAGAGATATGATTGTTTTACATGATGATCAGAATTAATTTAGGCTTTTATTTACATCTAAACAATGGTGAAATTCCTTCCGTTTCTTTTAAGTATGTTTCACAAATAAATGTTCAGCTTTTAAACAAATTTTTGTATCATATCTGTGATTTGTTCATTTGCCACAAAGTAAAAAACCTGGATTAACATCATTTAAGTATGATTTCTTGATTTTTTTCCAGGTGTTGTATATGAAGGTGAAGTGTGTAATTTTTTAATGTTACTTTCTCCTATCCCAGTTAAATGTGCAGAGACAACTATAAGTAAGCCATTTGTAGTTTGACTTCCCAAAACGTGTAAACACTGTGTCTCTGGAGTGCTTTCAAAGTATCTCCCTGTTTGTTTGAGTGGTCTGATATGCCAAACTCTGGCTAAAGCAATGGTGTGATTTGGGGGAGTGTTGCGGAAACCTGTTCGGAAAAAATTGTTATTTTTGCAATTCCATTGTGTCAGTAGTGGCAAAGAAATAGCACACTTCACCATATTGTAGTATGTACATGTACATAGTGCATTCTAGTTTCATATTTCTCTTTCAGTGTAGACTGTTAATGTTTAGCAATACATTTTTCTTGTTTCAGTTTGTAAAGAACCCCCATATAAAGTGGAAGAGTCAGGCTATGCTGGTTTTCTCATGCCTATTGAGGTCTATTTCAAAAACAAGGTGAGCACATCCCATACCTACAGCAATATCTGCATTTTTTTTGTCTTCTTTGTGAAGAACCGGTATGTAAGAAAAGTTCAGCACAGTGTTACGCTCAGTCTTTTTAGATGTGTGCGGCTGTGTTATTTTGCCAGTATTGGAAAAATGTTGTGATGAGGAGTTTTGCAATTCAGTAAAGGTAAAGGTCACCCAACTAGGTGAACTCAGTATTTGCAATGGGAGCTAACAGATTTTACAGACACGCTAACAGAGAATTGACATGAGGCTATTGAACTACAGAGAACTTGGAGGGGGTATTAATGGTAAGAATATGTGAATTTGAAGACTTGCTTCCGTTTCATATCATTATCATTTTGCATATTTACTTTTCCAGAATACGTAGTGGAATATTTATGGGGTTTTTCCATTTTCTGTCTCGTTCCCTGAAACGTTATCTACCAAAGACTTTACTTTGACCTAACTTGACTGTAAATATTTCACACACTGCTAGTCTGAGGTTCAGGTTTGATACTGACGTTCATACTTTTCTCAACACAATTTCTTTATTAAATATTTGTTTTTATCTCTAAAGCCTGAACATGCTTGACCCTTCTATCACAGGAGGAGCCTAAAAAGGTGTGCTTTAATTATGACCTTTTCTTGAACCTGGAGGGCAACCCACCTGTCAACCACCTGCGCTGTGAGAAGCTCACATTTAACAACCCCACACACGAGTTTCGACGCAAGCTGGTCAAGGCCGGTGGGGTGAGTGCGTGGGACTGTTTGTCTTTGCTTTTTCTGTACATCTATAATCAGCTCTTTTCAACCGATTCTCACTCTCTCTTACTGTTGGCATGTTATTCTTGTCCCAGGCTGTAGTTATTCCTGAGGGAGCGGAGATGATGCCAAGACCCAGTCCAGATTATCCAATGCTGCCTACTATTCCACTCTCTGCCTTCTCAGACCCCAAGAAGATCAAGTCCTCTCATGCAGTAAAGGTTAGTAATAAAGTCATTCATTGGTCATTAAGTTATTTAAATTATTCAAAATTAATTTATTTAAAAAAAAAAAAAGTTGAAGTGTTTAAGAATATCCTGTATGTTTTTGCTAGTGTATGTTGTTCCAAAGCTATATGACTTCCCTTTATATTTGAAACACAAATGAATATATTTTTTAATGAAACCTGAGAGATCTATGACTTTCCATTAAAAGGCAGTGAAAAAGCTAAAAAAGTTAATGAAGAGATCATTAAACTAATCCAGATGAATCAAGCAGTTTAATGATAGTCTTCTGTAGAGATACAATCGCTTTATATGATGATCAGATTTTTAATTACATATTAACATTGATCAGCGCACATACATAGAGCACATCAAATATGCTTGCTTGACGTGTAAAACCAAAGAGGTTTGTTTGGAGTATCACGCAAACACATTTGAACAAGAGGCTGCAACATTCTGACTCGCTTCTGCTAAAAATAGGTTATATTTCTTCCCACTTCCACTTTTATGTTTTGTCCCACTCGTGCCTTCAAAATCCCGTAGTTAGATTTTTACGTTATGCAGATTTTTCAGTCCCTTTCCAATATGATTCTGTCCCACTCCAGTGTCATAGGCTATATTTTCCAATTCCCACACACATGAAAAAAGCAGAAAAAAGGAAGGTGCTTTCCCTTGCTGTCACATACAAAAGAAAAACATAGAGAATATCCAAACCTGTGGCAGTAAACTGTTTTTTTTTTTTACACAGTAGACAAATAACATTATGTACCTTAAAACATGAAATTAATTTGAGTAACCTTTCATTTATTTTTGGATAGTTATATTTTGCGGGAGTCTTGAGAGTCATTTTCTGTCTCCCGCTTCCCGCACACACATCAATATCTTCCCTCCCGCACCCATACTCAGCAATTCAAAAATTGTCCTGTGCCGCATCGGGTCGCAAAAAATGCAGACTTCTAATTTGAGCTTCAGTTAACCAATATCTTATAATTAAACCATTAAATTCATATGTATTACTTTTACAGTGTCTTTACGAAATTTTTGAAGCGTCAAAGTTTTGGTGGGACTTTCAATGGAGGGACATAAATCTCTCAGGTTTTGTTAAAAATATCTTCATTTGTGTTTCGGAAGTTTAAAGGGTTAGTTCACCCAAAAATGAAAATTAAGAGTGCCCATATTAAAACCCTTTAATGGGATTGGAATGACATGAAAGTGAATAAATGGTGACAGAATTTTCAATTTTGGGTGTGAACTATCACTTGAAGTTTCAGTGAACAAGCTCATTTATTCTGGGTGGATATGTGGTTGCTTCTGAGTATGTACTGAATGATTAGTCACTTCAAAACTTTTACTGTAGGAGTCAAGTAAAGATGGAGGAAGTGGGAGCAGCAAAGCCCTCAAAGCCCATAAGGCAACCAAAGAGCACCGAGAGCGCACACGAAAGGATTCAGAGAGCAAGGCCACATCCAGAGAGAGCGACCGCGAGAGTGGCAAGTCCTCACGAGACCAATCGTCATCCTCTTTTTCAAAGAAAGCCCTAGACGGAAGAGGAAAAGATGAGGGGAAAACTGTGCCTAAAGCAGCCTTCAAAGAGCCCAAACTCACAGTCAGAGAGTCCAAGATGGATGGCATGTCTCCAAAAGGTGGAGGAGCAGTGACGGGCGGAGGGGGACAGCTGGACGCTCGTGCCCCGAGCAAGAGGCCCTCGTCCGCCACCGAGTCTCCAAAGCTGAGTACCAAGAAACAGAAGAGGATGGGCTCTGAGGGCATGAAGGGGCCTGTGAGTGGAAGCTACAGCAGCAGCTCTCCCCGCATTACCTCAACAACACCCTCCACATACCCCGAGAAGAAAACCCCTAAAGATAAAGGCCACTGGGCAAAGATGAAACCAGAGGTGCAGGAAGTGAAAAGGCAACCAGAATCCGACGAATCCAACTCTGAGGATGAAGCCTCTACCAAATCAGAGGTACGTTTTGGTTTTTCCATCAGCAGAACATGGATTTGAATGTATTTGAATGTAGTGAAGCTCAAGGATGTTGTTTATTTAGCAGTCGGCTCAATCCAGTCCATCTAGTTCCAGCTCCAGCTCTGATTCTGATTTTGAGCCGTCGCAGAAGCAAGGCCAAGGTACGGAGTTTAATCATGAATTGCATGATCAGGAGTGTGTCACCTCATTGAGTTTGGTTGAACGTGATGATTGTGTCCAGGGCCGCTCCGTTCTATGGTAGAGGATATGCGCTCTGAAGGCTCTGATGATGACAGCATCTCTGAGGTTGAGACGCTCATGAAGGCGACTCCACCTAACCAGAACTTTCGGTCTGTGCCAAGGACTTTGTATTTGATCTAATTTGGTCGTGTTTGAATTTCAGTTCAATTTTATTAAAAAGAAGACATAAAAAAATCAAAAGCAAATGTCCACACATTAATATTACCATAGTCATGGTGCACACTGTATTTAATTTATATTCCTTTCATAAGTTCGTTTTTCTGTTTTCAGTTTAAGCATGGACAGTGAGAGTGATGGTAATGAGGAGTCCCGTCCTCCCAGCCAGGAAGCCCCCTCACCTCTACCCAAACTCAGCTCAGCAAACCTCAAGGTAAGATTTGCATGGCATTGCAATTGAAACTTTGGACTGGTTTATGCACTGAATATAAATTGGTGCAGGATTTACTTTGAAACAATTTTCACTCAGAAATTGCTATTAAATTTCACAAATAATTACAAAGAAATGTCAAGTAACGTACCTAATTGAACATGAAATCTAAAGACTGAAATAGTATTTTTGTGTAAAATATGCTCTAATAATCTGTTTTATTTACAACCTAGAAAAATCATTTTTACAGTGAATCTGGTTTACAGTCAAACCAAAATTTATTCAGACACCTTCAACATTTCTCACATTATCACAGTTTATTCGCTATAGTTTAGAAAATGGTAATAAAATATGGCAAGAACTCAGAGTTAAACTGTGTCAGAACAAATTCAGCTTGATAATGTCAGATAACTTTGATAGAAAGGTATGTAATGAATTAGGTTGAATAGCTGTCAGCTGACTTAAATTTAAGCATACAATTAGATAATACCATTTTAGGTCAACCAGTTACCAAGCAATGCTTAATTTGGTTCAGTCTGTGGTGTAAAACGAGTCACATTAGTAATTAAAGAAAAACACTTGGTCAGGTCAAAGTGTCTGAATAATTTGTGTCCCAAATTTTTATCCATTTTACTAGTTGTCCACTGTATGAAGAATTTGTGGGTATAATATGTCACAGTTTACTTTATTTTGCTATCCTCACTTACATAAATTAACTATAGTGTCCTGTACCCACTAGTAAAAAGGTATCAAAAACTATATCTGGTGTCTAAATTATTTTTGGTTTGACTGTATATTTGAATTTGATTTAAAAAATCGTTTTGTCAGATGTTAGGAAATAAGAGCCCAGATTCTTGCACCCACGAGAAAATGCTCAAGAGGGGATACGACAAGGTAGGAAGGGTAAATAACTGATTCATACTCCTCAGTGGCTGAAATACAGATTTTTATCGCACATAAAACTACAATGAAGCTTTTAAATGATTGATCTGATTACAGGCTTATACAGAGGAGCTTGTGGACCTCCATCGCAGGCTGATGGCTTTGAGAGAGAGGAACATTTTACAGCAGGTAACAATATTTTTTTTCTTCATTTGGGTGTATTTTAGGTGATCCTTGAGTTAGGGGAATATTTGAAATCAACGCGACATGGTGCTAAAACATAAAACTGCTTACCTCAAGCTCTTATCCCTTCATCTTTCGCAGCTTCCACTTTTTTTCAGCACACATAAAAACTACTGCTAAAGTGTGATTTATCATGCTCTTTTTATTTACCACTAGCGCATTCTTTTTTAGAAACGTGCGTCGTATCGTACGAGACAATAGGTGTCATCATCGTAGTCTACACACACATCGTAGCCAAGTTTATTAGATCCATGTCGCACAGTGTGACATGTAGTGATCTTATAGGATTGCTAAAATCGTGCAGTGTGTTTTGGGCTTTAGTTAATGTTCATTTCAGCATCTACTAATCTAATGCGTTACTAAAATGACAAGTTTTGTTTGTTAACATTAGTTAATGCACTGTGAACTAACATGAACAAACAATGAACGGCTGTATTTGTATTAACTAACAAAGATTAATAAAGAGTGTAATAAATGTAGTGTTCATTGTTCATTCATGTTAATTAATACATTAACTAATGTTAACGAATGACACCTTATTGTAAAGTGTTAGCAAATATCTGTTTTCTATTTTAATATATTTTAAAGTGTAATTCATTCTTTTGATGGCAAAAGCAAAAACTATTACTCAGATCTTCAGTATCACATGATCCTTCAGAAATCATAATATATTTGTGGAAACTGTGGTTTTCATGATTCACTGATGAATAGAAAGTTTAAAATAACAGCATTCATTTGAAATTGACATGTTTTGAAAAAATGTAAATATCTATACTTTTGATCAATTTAATGCATCCTTACATAAGAATTTCTGCTAAGGTCTCATTGTAGAACAGCTGATTTATGTGTCGTTCATGCCACTTTTGTCACCTTTCAGGAGTGATGTTTGCTGTTTTTTGGTTGCCATATATGCATTTGTGTCTTTTAGATTGTGAACCTCATAGAAAAGACTGGCCATTTCAACATCACCAATACAACCTTTGACTTTGACCTGTTCTCCTTGGATGAGTCAACTGTACGTAAACTCCAGAGCTACCTGGAAGCCACATCCACATGACACAAGGAAGCTGCTCGGCCGTGATTTAGTGTGAGAGAGGCCTCCAAACTGACTGGGTGCAGAGGGATAGGTATTGAAAGCAACATATAAATGCACAGGAACAAACAAAAACGAAATGAGAAAACAAAAAAAAATGTATACTGTAATAGAAATAAGCAAACAAAAGGACCAGGGGCGTAAAGGGGCGGTATTCAGGGTTTATCTAATAACAGCACTGCGCATTGCACTAAGAATCAAACTGTTGGCACAATACTGTCCAAAATGGACAAGATCTCGCATAGGCACCGTAGATGAGATAACGTATTATTACAAGTAGGTACATTTCAGACAGGTTTTGCACCAAAGCTATAACACTGGTGGAAAGGATCCTTCGCTCGGGCCTTTATGCAGGGGCGATGACTGAAAGACTGTGTCCCCTCTCTACCCCTTCACTCTTCTGCTCCACGGACGCCAAACCACTCAGCACAGCTTGGTGGCGTGGAAAGAGCCCAACTAGATCAAACCTTATCGGCATACTGGTTTTGTCTGCATAGCTTTGTAGCCCCATGTGTTGGATAAAGTACATACTCTCAAGCTTTGATGATAGATGCTCCCTCGGATCAGCTAAAGGGGAAAAACTATCTGCCTTTGTAGTGCCTTTTTAAAATATCATGTTTTTAATTATAATTGTTTGTGAGTCTCTCATTGGTCTTTGGATGACCAAAAATGATCTGTCAACATTAAAATGCCTGAAATTGACATTCAAAGCCCTTTTAAACACGGTTTAATACCTGTCCGGAGAGAACACGTTATGCATGTGTGATCTGAGAAGGTCTTGTGCATTATTCTATGTTTCTTGATGGTCAGCGACATGAAGTCAATTTGTTACGCATTTGAAGTTCTTTTTGTAGTTTATTTAAGTAACTGTGCACTTTTTCTGGTCACTTCAGTGCTTTGTAATTATCTGATAACTATATTTATGATTATTTTCTTTTTTTTACACATAATATTGACTTGCAAAAATGTACAGATTTTTGTCAATGTTTTTAAATGCATCTATTGAAGTCATATTATTGATTTATTCAATCACATGAGAGAATATGCACACAGATTGAAAGGGGGACGTTTTGGTCTGTATTCCAATGGTGAGATTGGAAAAAGAGTCTTCTGATCACCTGAAGTATTATACAAGTGAAAATGTATTTGTGTCAGATACGTATTGTCTGATTACATTGCTTTTTAAAAAGCATACCTGCTTGACATGTTATTCTTCATTGTCGATTGCCAGTTACCCTTTTTGATTCTCAATAATGTATGGTTATAAAGTAAACAATGTTTTCAGTGAAACGTTTGTGGCAGATGTATGTTACATCATGGGAAAGTTGCAGTGATCTGTGTTTGTGCATGATTGATACGTGAATAATCACTTGCAGGAATATGCATACAACATTCACAACCCTATACATTTATCAGCTATCCTCAGGACTGTCGCAAATACAATAGATGCTCATAATAAAACCAAAACCATAACACTTGAAGCACATGGTGGAAACGTCTAGTAGGTCTTTTCGCTGTGTTTGCTTCTCTACCATAAAAAGTAGCATATCCATATCAAGGGGAATGGGATCATTTACAGTATTTATGTAAATATGTAACAATGTGCATTATATAGGCTATCATATATGGAAAGCTGAAATTGTGGAACCATTAAAGCTCATTCTCCGTTTAGTTTATATCAGTGTGTATTATATATGTGTTTATAAATTGACATTTTATATGATCTTTTTGTGTCATGCCTACAAAATGAATACACCTCATGCTGATTATTTATAACATTTTAAACATGACTGACTCATTGTCCAGCCTGTTGTGAACTTATAATAGCCTAATAGACTTAAGTGTTATAAAGATGTGAATTTTTACTTTTTAATCAATAGTTTGTCCCTTAGATAGTGTCCAGCCAATTTTCAAATTGCAATCGGTTCAAATTTAACAATATAAATTTCATAACTTGTACTTGCACTTTGAAAGGCACCAAATTTGAAATTGGAAGGACCTATATGTATCCCTATACAGACCAATAACATCTAAACCTATGGCGTAAACTGGAGGAGTGTGCAGTAAAATTGTTTAGGGTCTTTATAAGAAGTGTGATGCGATGAAGCTCATGTGTGGATAGGAACATGAGAGACCTATCAGGTTCACTCACTTGGCGAGAGAGCTAGCGCAAAAACTGGCAGCGGCAGGTCGCAGCGCCACTTCCGGTGGCATCCCCAGCTGCCACTAGTCGTTTCTGACAGCTGCCAGAGTTCGTGGCAGCTGCCACGGTCTTTCTCGCCGTTTCTGCTGTTTGTATGGGAAGCCAAACAACCCAAATGTGGGACGAAACAGCGCGGTATTAAAGTGTTCGCGCCGCGCTGACCTGTCATCGGCGCGGCTCAATGGACCGAGCTGCGCGACCGACTAGACAGCGCAGAGAGGACGTGTTTACTAGCGCCACCGAGCTGACGCAGCGCAAACATTACTCTCCGCAGAAGTTCGTGTTTTTTTCCTGCACATAACATAATGAAGAGTTATTACATTTCTTTTGCTTATTATCTTTCATATTACTACATGTAAACAGTAGTGTTAGCTACTTTGAAGCACGTATAGCCTATATTTAGTAGTCACGTTCACAGTAGAAACTTCCATTATCCTCTTAGAATTCAGATATTTAATGGTTTCGTTCATCAAGGCATATTTAAGTAAATTTTACATTTAAGGATATTTGTGTAACTGTAGCATATGATTTATTTTAATATATATATATATATATACACACACACACACACACACACACAGACACACACATATATATATATGGTCACACCTTAGTTTTGGGTCCAATTCTCACTATTGACTTTTGCCTAAATAAACTGTTAATTACTGTTCAGGTATTGGGTAAGATGTAGAATACGGTCACGCATAATAATGCACTAGTATGTGCTTTATGCGTACTAATAAACGGCTAATATAGTAATATGCAAGCAACTAGTTAATAACTAAAGTGTTACATTAAATAAATAAATAAATGTTTTGTCACAGTGTCTGGTTGTGGTGCCCTGGACTGGCCACTTGAGGGCGCTCTCCCGTTTCTGTGTTACATGTGTTGAACTCCATTTCCCATAGTCCCTTGCCTGTCGTGTCTGTTCTGATCATGATCACCTGTTAGTCATTTACTCATCGTCCCATCACTACATATACCATGCTCACTCTGTTGGCACTCCTTATGTGTGTGTATGTTCTTTATGGGAAAATGCTTATGCAATTTAGCTTATTGGGTTCACATTCTGATCGTATCTGCTTGCTGGTATATAATATGCATCATCAAATCTTTTATTTACAAACAAAACAGTGTAGTTTACAGCAGAAACGGCGACAAACGATCGTGACTCCTGGCAAGAACTCTGGCAGCTGATGGCAACTGATACATAAAAATGTATAATAATAATACAATTGTGGGAACTTTGCATCATCATTTTAAAAACACCACCACCGCACGCCACTGAGTACAGTGTAGTTTTACCGAGCAAACAGCAGAAACGGCGAGAAAAACCCTGGCAGCTGCCTTTGACTCCTGGCAAGAACTCTGGTAACTGATAGGCTACATAAAAATGTATAATAATAATAATACAATTGTGGGAACTTTGCATCATCATTTTAAAAACACCACCACCGCACGCCACTGAGTATACAGTGTAGTTTTACCGAGCAAACAACAGAAACGGCGAGAAAGACCGTGGCAGCTGCCACGAACTCTGGCAGCTGCCTTTGACTCCTGGCAAGAACTATGGCAACTGATACATAAAAATGTATAATAATAATAATACAATTGTGGGAACGTTGCATCATCATTTATAAACACCACCACCGCACGCCACTGAGAACAGTGTAGTTTTACCGAGCAAACAGCAGAAACGGCGAGAAAGACCGTGGCAGCTGCCACGAACTCTGGCAGCTGCCAGTGGCAGCTGGGGATGCCACCGGAAGTGGCACTGCGACCTGCCGCTTCCAGGATTTGAG